TCTTTTTTTGTTTAAGGGTCTCACTCTAATGCCCAGGCTAGAGTGCAGTGACGCCATCTTGGTTCACTGCAACCCACCTCCCGGCCTCAAGCTATTCTCCCACCTCAGCCTCCTGAGGAGCTGGGACTACAGCCACACACCACCACTGTCAGTTAATTTTTGTAGAGACAAAGTTTCACCATGTTGCCCAGGCTGGTCTCCAACTCCTAGGCTCCAGCAATCCTCCAGCCTCAGCCTCCCAAAGTGTTGCAATTCCGGGTGGGAGCCACTGTGCCTGGCCAGAATTGTTTTCTTCATTTCATTTACAGGTTGTTTATTGCAAGCGTACAAAAACTTTATACTGATTTTATACTGATCTTGTATTGGTAATCTTGCTGAACTCCTTTGTTAGCTGTCATTGTTTTCATTGATTTATTAGGATTTTCTGTGTACAAGATCATGCCATCTGCAAATAAAAACAGTTTTACTTTTTACTTTCCAATCTGGAGGCCTTTTATTTCTGTATCTTGCCTAACGGCCCTGACTAAAACATCCAGTACAATATTGAATAGAAGTAGCAAGAATGGGTATGCTCTAATCTTAGTGGGAAAGCATCCAATCTTTAACTATTAACTATGATGTTAACTGAGGGTTTTTCATATTTGCCTTTTATCATGTTGAGGAAGTTCTCTTCTATTCCTAGTTTGCAGTGTTTTTTGTTTGTTTGTTATCATGAAGGGGTGTTAGATTTTGTCAGATGCCTTTTCTGCATCTATTGAGATGATCATGTGGTTTTTGTTTTTTATTCTACCAAAAAGATATAATGCAATACTTGAGTTTTGAATAGTAAACCAAACTTGAATTTCTGGAATGTATCGCACCGAGGCAGGGTATACTTCTTTTTATATGTTGTTGGCTAGTATTTTGTTGAGTATTTTTGCATCCATGTTCATAAAAGAATATTGGTCTGTAGTTTTCTTATTATGTGTTTGTTGGATTTTAATTTCAAGGTAAAACTAGTCTCAGAATAAACTAGAAGGCGTTTCTTCCTCTTCTATTTATGGAAAGTTTTTTTATAGAATTGGTATTAATTTTTTAAATGTTTTGTAGAAATCACTAGTGAGGTCATCTGAGACCCGGGCTTTTCTTTGTAAGTAGTTTGCTTTTTAGTATATATTACTAATCTCTTTATTTGTTATACATCTCCTCAGATTGTCTATTTCTTCTTGAGTCAGTTTTGGTATGTGTCTTTCTAGGAAATTTTACGTTTCATCTAAGTTATCTGATTTATTAACGTACAATTGTTCATAGTATTTCTTTACAATCCTTTTTTATTTCTGTAAGATTGTAAGTACTGTCCCATCTTTAATTTCTGATTCTAGTAATTTGAGTCTTCTTTTTTTCTTGATCAATCTGGGATGGGTTTGTCAATTTTGTTGATTTTTTCAAAGATCCAGGGTTTGATTTTATTGATTTTCTCTATTGTTTTTCTATTCTCTATTTCACTAATCTCTGCTCCAATCTACCCAGTTTATCATATTTTGGTATGGCAGCCCAAATGAACTAAGACACTCTGTCATTTGAAAGACAGCCTGGGAGAGTTGGTATGACTACAGGCATGGCTCAAGCACCTAAAGATATCAGGACAAGGATCACCCAAACATCCATCAAAAGGAAACTAGTTAAACCCTTCAGGGAACTATGATGCATTATTATAAATAATAAAGTGGATCCATATATATTAACAGGGGAAAATGCCCATGCTATATTGGTAAATTTTTTAAAAAGGAAGTTGTAGACAGTGTGAAAATATAGTGCCATTTTACTTTTTAAACAGAATATATGTTAATGTACAGAAAAAGGTTGGAGGAATGTGTATTAAGTTATTGATAGTGAGATTTTTGGAAAGTTTGGATTTTGAGGGGGTGGATTACAGATACACATTATATATCTATAAAGTGTTTGATATTTGAAAAACTGTTACATCTGCAATCCAATAAAATAATTTAAAAAATTTTAAAGAAGTGGCCAGGCACAGTGGCTCATGCCTACAATCCCAGCACTTTGGAAGGCCAAGGCAGGAGAATCACTTGAGGCCAGGAGTTCAAGATCAGCCTGGGCTGTTAGTGAGACCCTTGTTTCTACAAAAAAATGAAAAATCAGCCAGGTGTGGTGGTGTACGCCTGTAGTCCCAGCCACTTGGGAGGCCAAGGCAGGAGGATTGTTTGACCAAGAAAGTCGAGGCTACAGTGAACAGGGATTGCACCACTGCACTCCAGGCTGGGTGGCAGAGTAAGACCCTGTCTCTAAAAAAAAAAAAAAAAGAAAGAAAGAAAGGAAGGAAGGAAGGAAGGAAGGGGAGAGAAGGGAAGGGAAAGAAGGGGAAAGGAAGGCAGGGAAGGAAGGAAGAAAGAGAAAGAAGGAAAGGGAAAGAGAAAAAGAGAGTGAGACAGAGGGGAAGGGAAGGGGAGGGGAAAGGGAGAGGGAGAAGGGGAGGGGAAAGGAAGAGGGAGGAGGGGAGGGGAAAGGGAGAGGGAGGAGGGGAGGGGAAAGGGAGAGGGAGGAGGGGAGGGGAGGGGAGGAGGGGAGAGGAGGGGAGGGGAGGGGACGGGAGGGAAGGGGAGGGGAAGGAAGGGAAGGGAAGGGAAGGGAAGGGAAGGGAAGGGAAGGGAAGGGAAGGGAAACAGTCTATGGAGTCAAACAGATTGCTTTTGAATCATGGATCTGTGAAAGGAGGGGAAGGAAAGAAGGGAGAAAAGAAAAGATAAAAGAGAAAGGTAGGAAGGAAGGAAAGGAAAAGAAGAAAGAAAGAAAGAGAGACATAGTCTATGGAGTCAAACAGATTGCTTTTGAATCATGCATCTGCCAACTACCAGCTGGGTGATCTCTGGTAAGTTACTTCATGATTCTCACGTCACAATTTTCTCATCAATAAAATGGGGAATTAATACCAGCCTCATAAGAATGATCTACCTACCTCACCAGTTTCATCTAATCCCATCATCCCCTCGGGGTGCTCTAGTGTAGGGGTCAGCACACTACCGCTCTTATGGCAGTAAGGGTCTATTTCTAGAAAATAAAGTTCTGGCTGGGTGCAGTGGCTCACACCTATAGTCCCAGTACTTTGGGAGGCCGAGGTGGGCGGATCACGAGGTCAGGAGATCGAGACCATCCTGGTTAACATGGTGAAACCCTGTCTCTACTAAAAAGACACAGGAAAAAAAAAAATTAACCAGGCTTGGTGGCAGGCACCTGTAGTCCCAGCTATTTCGGGAGGCTGAGGCAGAAGAATGGCGCGAACCTGGGAGGCGGAGCTTGCAGATCACACCACTGCACTCCAGTCTGGGTGACAGAGCGAGACTCCCTCTGAAAAGAAAAGAAAAGAAAGAGAAGGAAGAGTTCTATTGGAACACATCCACAGCCATCAGGATGTTGTCTTACACATTGTCTATGGCTGCTTTTGCACTTCAGCAACAAAGTTGAGTAATTACTACAGGAACCATATGACCTACAAAGCCTGAAATATTTACTCTCTGGCCCTTTGTAGGAAAACTCTGCCAACCCCTGCTCTAGGAAGAATATATAGGCCTTCTTTCACCTCCTAAAACATGACACATTCCTTCTCACCACAATGCCTTTGAACATACTGTTCCCTTTGCTAGAATGACATTTTCACATCCCATATCTAATCCTTTCCTGTCAATCCTATTCATCCTCATGACCTTCTCAGGGAGGTTTTTGCAGATCCTCAAACTAGATTAACTTTCTTTCTTTTTTCTTTTTTTTTTTTTTTGAGACGGAGTCTTGCTCTGTCGCCCAGGCTGGAGTGCAGTGGCAAGATCTCAGCTCACTGCAAGCTCCGCCTCCCGGGTTTACGCCATTCTCCTGCCTCAGCCTCCTGAGTAGCTGGGACTACAGGCGCCCGCCACCTCGCCCGGCTAGTTTTTTGTATTTGTTAGTAGAGACGGGGTTTCACCGTGTTAGCCAGGATGGTCTCGGCCTCCCAAAGTGCTGGGATTACAGGTTTGAGCCAGTGCGCCTAGCCTAGATTAACTTTCTTGATATACATTCTCTTAGTATCCCTCATAGAGCTTATTGTGATGGCAGTTATCCGAATTATCTGTGCTCTTATTTCTTTAACGTTTGACTGCCGCTATAGACTGCAAACCCATTAAAAAATCTGTCTTGGCTGGGCGTGGTGGCTAATGCCTGTAATCCCAGCACTCTGGGAGGCTAAGGTGGGCAGATCACCTGAGGTCGGGAGTTTGAGACCAGGCTGACCAACGTGGTGAAACCCCGTCTCTACAAATACAAAATTAACCAGGCATGGTGGTGCATGCCTGTAATCCCAGCTACTCGGGAGGCTGAGGCAGGAGAATCGCTTGAACCAGGGAGGCAGAGGTTGTGGTGAGCCGAGATCACGCCATTGCACTCCAGCCTGGGCAACAAGCGCAAAACTCTGTTGCAAAAAAAAAAAAAAAAAGCCTGTCTTGTTCAGTGCTGAATCTCTAGTGCCTAACAAAGTACCTGAAGGTACAAAGTAGATGGAGGCATGATTGATATTATCTATAAAAGGTACTTATTGTCTGATATATACTATATGACATATACTTTATAACAAATAGTTCAACTAACAGGTATGGAATTGGTTAAGAGCACAAATTCCGGGGTTGGACATGCTGAGATGAACCCCAGTTCTTCCATTTAACAGATGAAGAACCTTAGACAAGTCCCTTAACCTCTTTTGGCCTTTTTCCCATCTGTAAAATGGCAATAATATTAGTACCTACTCTGTGAGGCTTGTAATAAAGATTAGATGCTATCTACCATAGTTATTACTGTTGTTATGAATTATTATTATTATTGGTGCATGTCTTAGCTGGACAGCAGATATTATTATGAGTCCTTCAACGCTGACTCCAGGTTACTCTGGAGTCGGTTACTGGGACAGGGTGAGTCGAGGTCTCCTCTCCCACTCCCACTCTCAACCCAGTTAAATATAAATTAAACCACAGCCATAGTTAAGCAACATTCTTTCTTTAATTCCCCTTTGCAAATGGAAGCCCCTGAGCTTGTCCCCACCCCCACCCCATACCCTGGGGACCCCCAGATGCAAGGCCCCCACCTTAACCTGGTGGGAAAAGAGGAGCAACCCCTCCCTATAATGGCCCATTAAAAAATTCCTAGTCATTTAAGAAATGAGGCTGGGAACAGGAGAAAGGAATTAGAAGACAAGGCCCAGGTCAGGCCAGTCTGAAGATGTTGGGGTTGTGAGACCCTTGAGAAGGGTTTGCAAGCACATCCCTAAGCTCAGGGCCAGCATGGCTGAAGGAGGGGAGGTGACACATAGACAGTCTGATTCCTCAAGGTCCTGCCTGCCTGGCTGTGGATGCTGACACTCATCACCATCATCATCACCATCATCATCACCATCACTACCACCACCACCACCACCACCACCAGCGGCCTCCTGATGGAGAATTTTCCAGTTACTCTGGGATTGGGTTTGCTAAGCATCCCCTCTGGCCCCTGATCTGGGGCATCCATGGGGTCCCCCTGAGACCAAACCTGGGAGAAGGAGGGACTCTGGGAACATGCAAAGTGGGGGAGCAGAGACCCCGCCCCACCCCGCTGCTCTACAGGATGGTGGCTCCAGCTGCATCTGGGCTCCGAGGGTCCTTAACAGCGATGATGAAGTTGTTGGTCCTTCGGCTGCCATGGACCCAGGATAAGACATCTACTTTCTCCACGTGGTGACCCCTGGCTTCCAGGAACTCAATCTCTTCCTCTGTGAACTCACCTGAAAAACCATCCCCGACATACACACATTCAGAATGTACAGGGCACTAGTTCAAGAGTCCTACAGTCAGACCTGATCGTCGTCCTGGCTGCTCCACCACAGAGCTGTATGACCTTGGACAAATCACTTTACCTTGCTGAGCCTCAGTTTCCTCATGTATAAATAGGGATTATATGAGAACATGAAGTTGCAGGGACTAACAGAGATAATGCACACACAGCACTGAACCTTGCATACAGTAAGTGATCAATAATATACAGTCATTCTTCATATTGAAAACAGGACAGATCAGGTGCAGTGGCCCATGCGTGTAATCCCAGCACTTTGGGAGGCTAAGGTGGGAGGATCATTTGAGCCCAGGAGTTTGAGACTAGCCTGGGCAATATAAGGATACCCCATCTCTGCAGAAAATTTAAAAATTAGCTAAGGTTGGTGATACATGCCTGTAGTCCCAGCTACTCAGAAGGCTAAGGTAGGAGGATCGCTTGACCCTGGGAGGCACAAGTTGCAGTAAAGTAAGCTGAGATTGCACCACTGCACTCCAGTATGGGCAACAGAACAAAACCGTGTTTCAAAAAAAAAAAAAAAAGAAAAGAAAAGAACGGAAGGAAGGGAGGGAGGAAGAAAAAAAAGAAAAAGAAAAAGGGGCTTTGTGGATCTTCATCTTCACCTGCCAAAGTCAAGCTGCCATCATTACTTGCCAGGATTCCTGCATAATCCACTAACTGGTCTCCCTGCTTCCAGCCCTCCCTTCCTTCCTTACTGGTCTCCCTGCTTTCAGCCTTCCCTCCCTTCCTTCCTTCCTTTTTTTTTTTTTTTTTTTTTTTTTGAGGTGGAGTGTCGCTCTTGTTGCCCAGGCTGGAGTGCAATGACACGATTTTGGCTCACGGCAACCTCTGCCTCCCGGGTTCAAGTGATTCTCCTGCCTCAGCCTCCCCAGTAGCTGGGATAACAGGCATGAGCCACTATGCCCGGCTAATTTTCTATTTTTTTTAGTAGAGACGGTGTTTCTTCTTGTTGGTCAGGCTGGTCTCGAACTCGCGAGCTCAGGTGATCTGCTCACCTCGGCCTCCCAAAGTGCTTGGATTACAGGCGTGAGCCACCATGCCCGGCCCCCTGCCTTTCTTATAGCCTGTTCAAACAGCAGCCAAGGGGATCCTTTTAAACCATTAGTCAGACCTTGTCACTTCCCCTGCTCAAAGCCCTACAACAGCTTCAACGGCTTTTAGAATAAAATCCAAAGTCCTTACCAAGGTGCCTCTAAGCCCAACATTGTTTGGGACCTTGCTACCTCTCTAAATTCCTTCCCTCATTTCCTTCTATTTCTCACCTTGCTTAACAGTATTCCAGCCACATTGGCCTCGTTGCTGTCCCTTTAGAAGGTCAAACATGTTTCTACTTCATTTCCTTCTATTCCTCACCTTGCTTAACAGTATTCCAGCCACATTGGCCTCGTTGCTGTCCCTTTAGAAGGTCAAACATGTTTCTACTTCATTTCCTTCTATTCCTCACCTTGCTTAACAGTATTCCAGCCACATTGGCCTCGTTGCTGTCCCTTTAGAAGGTCAAACATGTTTCTACTTCAATGCCTTTGCACTTCCTGTTCTTTCCGTCTGGAATGCTCTCCTAGAAAGTCACACTGCTGGTCCCCTTACTTCAGTCCAGTCTTTGGCACCTCTTCAAGAATTTCCTCCACCACTACCTAAAACAGCAGTCCCTACCATATTTACCTTGTTTGGTTTTCTTCCAAAGTACTTACTGATACCTGTATTTGTTTATTTATTTACTGTGTCTCCCTCCACTAGATTATAAGCTTTTTGAAGGTAGGAACGTTGTCTCGTTTGCTATTGATCCCCAGTCCAGGGTCAGTACATAGTAAATATTGAGCAGATACTTACTAGATAGATGAACAAATCCCCATCCCGTTGGATAAGTTCAGGCCCTCATCATCTCTTGCCTGGGCCATATCCCAGCTGCTTCTCGTATGTCCCTGACTTAAATTCTCCTCCCCTCAATCTACCTCCCCTAAATAAGACAAATCAGGTTATGTGTCTCCCCTTCTCAACTGGATAATCTTAAGGCTGACCTCTGTGATAAGCCCTGTAACTCCAATCATACCGCTTCTCAATAAAGATCTAGTCTTCTTCTTTCCCTAATAGGAAGGCTTTCGGCAGCTCTTGAGATGAAGACCCAATCTTGAATAGTATTAAATCACTTAATCGAAAATCTATGTCCTTTGTGGTTCACTTTCAATCCTTTTGATTATGGCAAGGAACAAGTTTCAGTCTGCTCTCTAACACTTCCTAATCTCCTTTAATGGAGAAAGCAGTCTCAGAGCCTTCCATGGGCAACAATATTTAACTAAAAACTGCACGTATCTATTTGTGTAGCTAACAAATAGATGGTAGCTATTTATCATCTATTTGTGGCAAATGATGTCATTTTTCCATTTGTGATTATAATATAAGGTCTATTTTAAAAATACATTTAGGGCCAGGCGTGGTGGCTCACGCCTGTAAATCTAGCACTTCGGGAGGCCGAGGTAGGTGGATTACTTGAGATCAGGAGTTCGAGACCAGCCTGGCCAACATGGGGAAACCCCATCTCTACAAAAATGCAAAAATTAGCCGGCTGTGGTGGCATGTGCACCTGTAATCCCAGCTGCTAGGGAGGCTGAGGCATGAGAATCGCTTGAACCCAGGAGGCGGAGGTTGAAGTGAGCTGAGATCGCACCACTGTACTCCAGCCTGGGCGACAGAGTGAGACTCTATCTCAAAAAAATGATAAAATAAAATACATTTAGGCTAAAAGGAAGTTCATTTATAGAGACATGTTCTGTACATAATGGTTTAGATGGTGTGCAAATGTGGCAAAAGTCACAAAGGTGCTGGGTAAACTCAGAACTCTGGGAAACAACAGCTAGCCTCCCGACTGCTCTCTGAGTCATTCGTTCTGGTTTTTGCCCAGGCTGTTCCTCCTGATCAGAATGTCCTTTACCTCTACATGCCAAATTCCTACTCATACTTCAAGGCCCAGCTACTTGTTGCCTCCTCCATAAAGCCTCCCCAGGGCCTCAGGTGGATGAACTTTCCCTTCACCAAGCCCCCACTCCTTATGCCTCCATCTTAGACTAAGGCCCTGAGGGGAGGACTGGGCTGAGCCCAAATAACTTAGCAGAGAGCCTCACGTTCAACAGAGACCAGCAGATATTTGTTGAACAAAATTCAGTTTCAAGGACGTGGCCTTGTCATCTATCAGCTGGGATCCAAGTGTCGCTGGCCAACTACAGGATGTGATCGTTGAAGATCGCAGTATTTGCTTCTAACATGATTCAGTCCAGCAGATATCAAGAGCTGTGCGGTAAAGAATAGAGTCTTTGGTATCAGCCAGGTGTATGTCCTAATTGAAGTTCTGCCACTTAGTGGTTGATCTTTGACTAGTTTATAACTTCTGTGAGCCTCAGTTTCTTCCTCTATAGAATGGGGATAATATTGAACAGGCAAGGACTGTGTCTCAATCAATTCTGTATTCTTTTGGACTAGTGTCATATTAATATATTGTTATAATAAAAACTCTTCAAAGGTGCACACACTTTCCTGTTTATAAAATTCAGCTGTGCCAAAATTAAGCCCTTAGGTGAAAGTCCATCTCCTCACCATAAGGTCCATGATCTGGCGTCTGCCTGCCGGCCTCTCTGATCTAATTTCATCCTTGCTTACCTTGGTCTCCTTTTTATTCCTCGAACCACCAAGTCCATTCCTGCCCTGAGTTCTTTGTACTTGCTCCCCTGACCTACACAGTTCTGCACCAGTTCTTTGTACAGTGGGCTCTCTCTTACACTTTTTTTTTTTTTTTTTTTTTTTTTTTTTTTTTTTTTTTAGGAGACAGGATCTCACTCTGTTACCCAGGCTGTAGGGCAGTGGCGTGATCTCGGCTCACTGTAACCTCTGCCTCCCTGGTTCAGGCAATTCTCCTGCCTCAGCCTCCCGAGTAGCTAGAAGCACAGGCACGCACCATGCCTGGCTAATTTAAAAATTTTATAGGGATGGGGGTCTCACTATGTTACCCAGGCTGCTCTTGAACTCCTGGCCTCAAGCGATCCTCCCACCTCAGCCTGGGATTATAGGTCTGAGCCACTGCACCCAGTTTCTTTCTCTCTCTTTAGATCTCAGCTTAAATATCACCAAAGAGAAGTCTTCCTTGATCATTGAATCAGTCATATTATGTCACCCTGCTCTGACTGTTAGCAGAGCACTTATTTGTCTCATATTTCTTTGATGACTTATTTTCCTGTTTGCCTGTAAATGCAGTATCCCCAGCACCTAGGATGATGCCTAGAAAACAGTAGGTGTTCAATACAAACTGTTGAGTAAATGAAGGTCTGAAGAATGAACAACTGTGTCTTATTTTACAAATGAGAAAACTGAGGCTCAGAGTTGAGACATGGATTTCCCAAGGCCACACAACCAGGAAATGGCAAGACTGGTTCCAATCCCCAGATGGTCCACTGCTCCAATAGGAATTTGCCAAATAAAACCAAACTTCACTGGCAGTTGGTGCTGGTTGAGGCATGGGCACCCTTGGGAGGAGTCCTTTCTCTACCAGTCCCTGTGCCCTCCCCACAAGATCTCTCCTCTGCACTCACTGTCCACCTGCAGGAGGTTGGACTGCAGGTCCGGGTGCAGGCGGCCGCGGGCCAGGCTGTCACTCAGGTTCCGGTTCAAGGTCAGGACATTCAGCAGAACCTGTGGTAGCCAAGGAACAGAAAACTCAGGGCTGTCCCCCAGGGCGATGGTCAGGATTCCTCAGCTCCCACCCTTGGTCCAGGCTCCTTACTCTTGAGAACTCTTACACTGGGTGTCATCTGAGCCTCCTAACAGCCCTGGAAGACAGGCAGGCCTGTGATGACTGTTCCCATTTCACAGAGAGGGAAAGTGAAGGCCAGCAAAGGAAATGACTTACTCCAGAGTTTAGAGGAAGCCAGGGAAGATACACCACTAGACCCAAGTCTCCTTAATCTAGCCCAGGGCTCCCTTTTTTTCTCTCTGGATAGGGCAAGGTTAACAGCTAGGGGTGGTCTAGGGCACAATGTGGGTGCCTTTAACTTAGTGGTTAGGAATGTGCATAGGCTCTGGAACCAAACTGCCTCCCCACTCTTTCTAGCTGAAAGTACTTGACCTAATGTCTTAACCTCTCTGGGCTTCAGTTTCCTTATCTATAAAATAGAAATAAGGATTCTCCCCAGAACTGGGAAGGTTAAAATGGTTAACACACATAACACAGTGCCCAGGACTTAGTACGAACTCTTTAAATGTTAGCTATGTTATTACTTCCATTTTAAAGATGAGGAGACTGAGGTTCAGAGCTGTTAAGTGAATGTTCCAGCATCACATGGTTACAAATTGGTAACATTTGGGCTGGAACCCAGGCGTGTCTGATTCCAGAACTCAAGATTGTTAACTCACCACCTACCAGAATAGGTGCCTAGCATATATATCAGATTCTCAAGACATTCAAGGAGCCATTCTGAGATGTTCTGGAGAGAAGCAGGCCCTTCCTTTCAAAATCCCACCCTAAAGAGGCCTGGTTGTCTATTCAGATGCTGGGTAGAGGTGTAATGCGACTTAAGGTTAACAGAACCTAGGCCACCCAGATGCTAACCCCACTTTTCAATCTACTGACCCTGCCATTTCCCCTGCAACCGGGAAAGACAGGAAGCATTGGAGTTCCATTTTCACTAAGAAACTCAGAGCAGCCCGTGTCCACGTTGCCCAGGATGCACCTGGCACAAAGCAGCCTCAGCCCATGTTTGCTGCATGAGGAATGGAAACAAGCCATAGATACGACAGGCATCTGCAATCTAGGCCACAGTTTGGCTCCCGGCTGAAAAAGGCCAACCATGGCATAAACCTCACCTGGGTCAGGCCGCTGAGGCCCCGGGCAGCTCCATTGGCCCCCAGAGCGAGGTAGGTTCCACAGAGCCCCACCGCGGGTCGGACCACTGTGGGCAGCAGGAAAGAGAGTGGCCGCTTCCCTGGCTGCACCGAGTTCTCCTGTTGTTAGAGGACAGAGACCACAAGGGGGAGGTGGGGTAGGACAAGACTGGGAAAGGGCCACTCCACAACCCTTCCAACTGCTCTCCCTCTTCCACATCTTCCACAGGCCCAGTTTTCCTGGGAGACTGGTCTCTTCCCAGACAACAGTTTGCTGTCTGTGAAATGGGTAGGGTGCCTGGATGGGTGGGGTGGATGGGGTATAAGTGGATCCACTGAACTATGAGGCTGCTATGAGTCACAGGAGAAAGGACCAAGCCAAGAAAGATGGCAATGGGGAAGAACAGGATAACCCCACCCTCATCATCTCTATATGTATTTGCCCTACTGGGACCCCAGACTATGGGGGCGTAAGAGTGCTTTTAACTGGATAAAAATTATTAAATCCTTCCTCCTTGGGTCCCTCTTTGGTGCCCAGACATAGGGCTGAGCCCCATCAGCTCAAGCTCACATCGTCACCACTAGTGCTGGAAAGTGCCCAAAACATCAAATCGGAGCCAAAACCCTCATTCTACAGGTGAAGAAATTGCCCAGAGAGGGCAAGATCTTCACGAGGTCACACAGTTAAGACAGTGACAGAATGGGACAAGAGTTCTTCAGACCCACCAGGCTCCATGTCCCAGACTTAGCAGGGCTAGGGATGAGGTGAACTTCTTTAGGCTTCCTTATACTAGAAGATTCTGGAGAAAGTAGGGAGAAAGGGGCAGCCATGCCACTGCACCTCCTACCTATAGGCCTTAGGATCCCCAGGGAAGCAGGGAAGCAAATCTTACCAGGCTGGGTGCAGAGTGGTTAGCCGTCCGGTTGGGCCAGGAGAAGTCTAGCATCTGGCTGTTGAGCAGGATCCCCGAGGGGGTGATAAGACCGCTGCCAAAGGGCTGGTTCAGGGAGCTGGGGGCCGAGGTGGAGTCGGGTGAGCCCTGGCCCATCTTCACCTCTACCCAGCCCCCACCCTCTCTTGGTTCAGAGGATCCCTTGTTCCAGGTTCTGAGTCTGAGCTGGCATACCTAACCATGGCCACAATGAAGTCATCAGGTCCCATGATCAGCACCTGGGCAGCTGTGGGCGCTCCGTCTAGTTCATAGACAGGCAGGAGTGGGGCAGGGGCTGCCTGGGAGTCATTGATATGGCCCCGGAGGTAGGCGGCCTCCACTTTGCTGAAAAGACAAGGGGTGGGAGATGAGCAAACAACAGGCTCTCTATACACCTCACCTACCTCACTTTTGTGGTGTTTGTGTAATTATTTGATGAAATCTACCTCCCTCACTGGACTACTAGAACTATGAGTGCAGAAGCTCATTAATTGCACATAAGAAATACCCAGAAAATAGCTGTTGAATGAATTTATTTAGGTATTATTTAGATTCTTTTCTGGAACCAACTTTTAATTTATTTAATGTTTAAATCAAGAGCCTTTTAGTTATCTGACTTCTTAATCCTTTCAATAAAAGTGCCTGGTGCATAATGGATGATCAGAAAATATTTGTTTTGAATTGACAAACTAGATTCATTTAGACTAATGTTTGTAGTCTAAAGTTTTATTAAGAGTTTAGTTGGGGGAGGATTTTGTATATGAGGATCTTTTTTTTTTTTTTTTTTAATGAGACAGACTTTTGCTGTTACCCAGGCTGGAGTGCAGTGGTGCTATCTCAGCTCACTGCAACCTCTGCTTCCCAGGTTCAAGTGATTCTCCTGCCTCAGCCTCCCAAATACCTGGTATTACAGGCACCTGCCACCACACCCAGCTAATTTTTTTTTGGTATTTTTAGTAGAGACAGGGTTTCGCCATGTTGGCCAGGCTGGTCTTGAACTCCTGACCTCAACTGATCCACTCACCTCGGCCTCCCAAAGTGCTGGGATTATAGGCATGAGCCACCACATCCAGCCAGGATCTTTACTTTCTATTAGAATTTTTTCCCAAGGCACAGAGTAAGTGCTCAATAACTATTTACTGGATGAACTGGTTGAACAGATTTCATATAGGCACATGTGTGTGTGTTTTAGAGCAAAGTTTGCATTGATCTTAGAAACAACATGTAATGCTCCAGACTTTTATAAATTCAACTGAGGCAGGAGGCTGAGGCAGGAGAATTGCTTGAACTCAGGAGGCGGAGGTTGCAGTGAGCCGAGATCATGCCCCTGCACTCCAGCCTGGGTGACACAGCAAGACTCCGTCTTAAAAAAAAAAAAAAAAAAAAAAAATTCAACTGAGGGTTTCTTACCTAATAACTATGTGTTGGGTTATCCATAGTAGATTAGAGAATAAGTTGCCAAAAATTACTTGAAGACAGTTATCTAATTTTCAACCAAAAAAAGCTTTACATGTATGATTTTGTTTAGTCCTCACCACAACCTCACAAGGTTGATACCATCATTGTCAAGCCCCCTTGTAGAAACTGAGATTTAGAGAGTTTAAATTACTTGCCCAAGGCTGCACAGCTAGCGAAGGGTAAAGCTGGAATTTGAACGTAGGCAGTCTCACCAGAGCCCACAACCTACTATTAGGTTATGTTGCTAATGAAGCTGTATTCCCACCACCTTCAGTATTTGCTTGGAGACTGGTTTTTTTTTTTTTGGAGACAAAGTCTCACTCTGTCACCCAGGCTGGAGTGCAGTGGCATGGTCTCGGCTCACTGCAACCTCTGCTTCCCAGGTTCAAGTGATTCTCCTGCCTCAGCCTCCCAAGTAGCTGGGACTACAGGCATGGGCCACCACACCCGGCTAATTTTTGTAGTAGAGACAGGGTTTCACTATGTTGGTCAGGCTGGTCTCAAACTCCTGACCTCAGATGATCCCTCCGCCTTGGCCTCCCAAAGTACTGGGATTACAGGTGTGAGCCTCTGCACCCAGCCTTTGTTTGGTATTGAGCTTTCTTTTCCTACTCAAAAGGAGGAGCAGATGGACTCCTATAGGTGCTATGCTAGCCTCAAAAAAATTTAAGAGCCACATGAAGTAGGCCAACTCACTGTGCTGATAGGAAAGGTGAGGTGTACGGAGAGGCACCCAGTGTCATGTTGTGAGTTGGAGTTGAGCTGAAATTGACTTAGGATTTCAGGCCTTTATTGCTACACCAGCTGCTTTTCAACTGACCCTTTCCCCACACCCACCACTGCCTCTGCAGTCCCCAGGTCCTGCCCAAGACCCACCTGAGCATGTCATCCATGCTCTCAGTGATGGTAGAATCATAGATGGGATCTCCCAGTCTGCTGGCCAGGGCTAACGCAATCTTCAGGGTCTGAAAATACAGAGGGGATATGGAAGAGGCTGCCAGACCCCTCCCAGCACCCACACCCAGTGGATTTTCGTGTGTGAGAAAACTTGGAGGTGATTTAGTCCTGCCCTATGGCAGTACCCAATCTCCCCACTCCTAATATCCCTAAATCCAGGGAAAGGCAGAGGGGTCAGCCTTACCTCTGCCACCCAGTGAAGAGCCTGTTCTCGGGATACCAGGCTGGTGAGATTGAAGCCCTCCAGGATGTTGAGAGCACTGATGAGGGCAGGGCCCGTGTGCGGGGGTGGGGGACTAAGAACCAGGTGGCCTGAAAGGACAGGAAGTGACTGATGGCAGGGTAGGGGTCAAGGCACCTTCACATCCCACATCCCATCTCCACATCCCACCATCACACACACTGAGACCACTGCGCTGAACCCCCTCGCCAGATGGGGAAACTGAAGCACTGAGAGGCAAAGAGACCCATTCAGGTTCACATGGCAAGTCAAGGGCAGGGCCAAGACTTGAACTCAGAACACTGGTCTTCAGTTTCCTCTGCCATTTGAGAAAACTAAGCCTCAAGAGGGCTGTGGCTTGCCCAGAGTCACACTGCAGGCTATCAGCAGAGCAGAGCAGAAACAGGTGACCAGATGTCTATATTCCTGGCCTGTCATGTGTCTCCTTTCAGCTCTCCCATAGGCCAGGATACTATCCATGGCTCCTGATGGTCTCATCCAGCCCCAAACCTCTTGGCAGCAGCAACCTTCTCTTCCTATTCTGTTACTAGATGTTTAGACATCAAAGGAATAGCTGATGCATAACACTAACATTAATTAATTCATTTAGTCCTCACGGTGGCTACTGTTATCACACATATTTGATAGTCCAGAAACTGTGGTACAGAGAGACAAGGGGAATCCAGAGCACTTAAGGTACTAGCATTGTTGAGACAACCCAGGCTGGGAAGGGGAAATGGAAAATCCTCATTCAGTGCGTGCTCTGATCAGGGCAACTTCCTACATCATCTCATCAAATCCTCATGGGCATCCTAAGATGTAGGCACTAATATTATTTCCATTTTAAGGAAGGAACCAAGGCTCAGAGTGGGAAGCAGCTTGTTCAAGGCAAATGGCACAGTTGGTACTCAAACCCAGGTCTTCCTAGCTCCAATGCTATGCTTGTTCCTTTTTTCTTTTTATTTATGTGTGTGTGTGTGCGCGCGCGTGTGTGTGCGTGTGTGTGAGATAATGGTCTCACTCTGTCACCCAAGCTATAGTGCAGTGGCACAATCATGTTTACTGTAGCCTTCACCTCCCAGGCTTAGGCAGTCCTCCCATCTCAACCTCCTGAGTAGCTAGGACTACAGGCACACCACGACGCCAGGGTAATTTTTAAATTTTTTATAGAGACCATGTCTCACTATGTTGCCCAGGCTGGTCATGATCTCCTGGGCTTAAGTGATCCTCCTGCCCCAGCAACACAATGTGCTGGAGTTACCGGCCTGAGCCACGGCACCCAGCTGATATGCTCTTTCCATTGCTTCATATTCCACTGCCTCTGGCAGAGGAATCAGGTTGGAGATTGAGGCCTGGAAAGTTGAACTCAGAGAAAACCTTGCCTGGGGCTTGATGTGATCTGGCTCTCCTATAAGGGAAAGAACCTGAGAATCTTCTGAGAAATCCAGCACCTGCCACCTTGGGTTCAGCAAACATGGACCCCACCCATATCATAAGCTTCGTTTTCTGGATTCCCTGTTGGTTTTCTTGAGTTTGGCCAGTTAAGTTCTATTCTCTCCTCCAGCCTCAATTTCCTTTTGGCACAATGAGGAGCTGGGTCTATGACTGTCTTGAAGGTTTGTTCTACGGTGAAGCTTGGATGGACTTTGACAGTGCTGCTGGGGAGAGGGTGGAGGCAACACAGAACCCAAATCAAGAAAACCTATGGCCAGAACCCCAACTTCCAGGTCGGACCTTTTGACCAGGTCCACCCCCCAATATCCTAAATACTTGGGGTAACTGACCCCACAGCTACTTGTGGGCTGGCTCTGGCTTGCTTCACAGTTGGCTGCCCAGGCAGTTCACTGCCTTAGTTTCTCTCCTGTGAAATGGAGAGGAGTCTCTAGGCCAAAACGATGTGGCCATGGACTGGGAGGCTTCTCCTGAGTGGGGACCCTGGGAGCTGGGGGAGAGGTCACCTCTGTACACGCCACACACAGGCTTCTCCACAAGGGCGCTGTAATTGCTGAAGTCCTCTTCGGTTATGACACCCCCTGCATGCTGAGCCTGGAGGGGAGAGAATGAGAGAATGACCTCCCACAACTGTGACATGTGGTTTTGGCCTATAATACATGTTTGGATCACAGACAGGTCAGCTGTTTATAACTTCTGTGGCTTCTGCAACTCCCATCATGGCCTTTAGAGACCCCATTATCCTTAGATACCTGAGGAAAAAGGAAGGGGGAAAAGCACTAACATTGAGCACCTATGATGTGTCAGGCATTATACTGGGTACATTCCATGAATGACCTCTTTAGCTTGCCATTCAAGACCTTTTGTGATCTGGCCCTGGCCTACGCCTCCCACCTCATGTCCTGCTGTTCCCCAGTGAGTTCTATGCAACTGCAGAGTGACCTGAAGTTCCTGAACTCATGCCTTTGTGTCTTTGTACCTGCTGCTCTCTCTGCCTGTGGAAAAGGAAGATTTTCCACTTATGGCACACTTGCCTAGGAGATATCAAAACTGAATGCTGCATCTCACCATAACCAACTAAAGCCACTAGAAAATCATGACTTCGAGTGATCCTGGAAGGACTGACCCTTATTGGACATAACCAAGCAGTCATTATTGACCAATGAACCAATCTGGTACAAACCAATGGGCTCATTCCATCCTATCCAGTGTGCTGACTGTCAACCCTAAATTAGCATAACCACTCTGAATCCTTTCTTTTTTTGTGCTTAGTAGTACTTGAAACCCTTGAGTTATCTATCTTCAGCGAATTACACATTGAATTTTTTTTTTCTTTTTGAGGCAGGGTCTTATTCTGTTGCCCAGGCTGGAATGCCGTGGCATGATCATGGCTCACTGTAGCCTCAACCTTCCTAGGCTCAGATGATCCTCCTGCCTCAGACTCCTGAGTAGCTGGGACTATAGGCACATGCCACTATAGCCAAACTATAGCCAAACCTGGCTAATGTTTGTATGTTTTGTAGAGATGAGGTCTCACTATGTTGCCCAGGCTGGTCTCAAACTCCTGAGCTCAAGTGATCCACCCATCTTGGCCTCCCAAAGTGCTGGGATTACAGGCATGTGCTACCATGCCTGGCCCATTAGAATTCTTGAGTTCCTTTTTCTGGCAAGTTAATAAATTCAACTGTGGGTTTCTTTTTGTCAAAGATCTGATGGTCTTTGTTACAATCTCCTGCATTCCCTTTGCCACCTCCAGGAAAGGGCACACAACCCAGGCCTGGCTAATTGGGGCATTCCCTTCTGTGCCACAGTGATTGATTTGGGAATAGTCATGAGACCTATGATGAGCCAATAAGACACAGTTTGGAGGCTTTTGCTGGAACTACTGGGAAGGAGAAATGCTCTTTCTCTGGGATAACTTGCTGGAAGGATGGTCTGATATGGGCTGATGGGGAGCAGGTGGAAAGGATCTGAGAGTGAATCCAAACAAATGAAAGTAGAGTTGAGACAGAGAGAAAGAGGGAGAGCAAATCCTAACACAGTGGATTGATAATCTGGACACAGAAGAATCTAAGCCAGTAATCTCCTGGACTTTCCAGTTAGGTCTGTTTGAGTCTATCACCACATCCAGTGCCCAGCACAGGGCCAGGCACAGAGCAGGCACTCTGTGAATGTTGAATGAATAACAGACCTATTTAATTCCCACAACTGTATGGCAGAGACAGATCTAATCATCCCCATGGCTCAGATGCGAGAACCACTGAGTTAGTCTATGCATCCTTATCATGAACATAATTTTCCATTAGGAGTTTTGCACTATTAATGACAGTTCTCACACCTGTTACTGCCTGAGACTGGGACTCTTTGGGATGGATGGTAACTTTCTGTGTCAATCTTCCCAGTCTTGATAGTCAACAATGAAAGAGGTGCTTCCCTCAGTCCCTAGAAAACCCAAGAGCAGGGAAGGATTATGAGCTTAGGGAAGCTGAGGCCGATACTGGGTCTCTACCAGGCCTGGGAGGGACATGACAAGCCCCCGCACAGGTTGGCATCACCCCTGAGAAGCCCAAAGGTAACTCTGAATCAAGACAGAATACTTCTGGCTGGTGGGGGGGCTCACACCTGTAATCCCAGCACTTTGGGAGGCCAAGACAGGTGGATCACTTGAGGTCAGGAGTTCGAGACCAGCCTGGCCAACATGGTGAAACCTCATCTCTACTAAAAATACAAAATTAGCTGGGCGTGGTGGTGCACACCTGTAATCCCAGTTATTCAGGAGGCTGAGGCAGAAGAATCACTTGAACCTGGGAGGCGGAGGTTGCAGTGAGCCAAGATCGCACCACTGCACTCCAGCCTGGGCGACAGAGCGGGACTCCGTCTCAGAAAAAAAAAAAAAAAAAAAAAAAACACTTCTTTTTTTTTTTTTTTTTTGAGACGGAGTCTCGCTCTGTCGCCCAGGCTGGAGTGTAGTGGCCGGATCTCAGCTCACTGCAAGCTCCACCTCCCGGGTTCAGGCCATTCTCCTGTCTCAGCCTCCTGAGTAGCTGGGACTATAGGCGCCCGCCACCTCGCCCGGCTAGTTTTTTGTATTTTTTAGTAGAGACGGGGTTTCACCGTGTTAGCCAGGATGGTCTCGATCTCCTGACCTAGTGATCCACCCGTCTCGGCCTCCCAAAGTGCTGGGATTACAGGCTTGAGCCACCGCGCCCGGCCGAAAAAAAAAAAACTATCATCCCAGGAGGTTTTTCATGTCATATCCCAGTCAACTCCTCCCAGCCCCACCAACCATTGATCTGATTTCTGTCACTAGAGGTTAGTTTTGACTATTCTAAAATTTCAAATGAACATCATCCACAGTAAATAATATAGAAAGAAAGGGAGGTAGGGAAGGAAGGAAGGAAAAAATGCAGACAAGGATGTCCTGCAATAGGGACCTTGGGGCATGCCCCCACCCGCACAACACGAGCACTCACCTCCGCCACCATCTCCAGTGTGAGGTTGCTGCCCGCATAGAAAGCGGCCGGGCCGGAGGTGCCAAGTACATCCAGCACCTCAGCCAGGTCGGGCCGTTGCAGCAGTGAGCCAGGTAGTGGCGGGCGGCCCGACGGCAGGAATGTCTCCCGGAAGCGCTCGGACATGTTGGGTGGCAGCTGTTCAGCCAGGGCACGGGCTAGAGGCAGGGACGGGAGGCTGGGCAGGGCGGGGCGCCAGGACTGGACCGGATGAGACGCGCAATAGGTGGGGTAGATGGGAGCTGAGTGGCCCACCCTAAGTGCCCCGACCCCCCAGGAGGCTGTTAAGTGTGAGGCAGGGATGTCTCAGGGCCCTTCCCAGACCCCCTCGTTGGAGGTCGCCTCCAGGTGAGGGTAGGATAAGGTGGGGAGGGGGTCTGAGGAGCAAACTGGAAGAGAGGGCCTCTCTGGCTTGGGCCCCAAATCTCAAAGATTCTACCCCTCTCCGTCAACCTCATGTCTCTCCCAAATCCCCAGGCCCCACTGACCTAGGTCATGAGTCACGTTGAATCCATCTTGGGCCACAGCTGCTGCGAAGGCCAGGACTTGGGACCATGGCAGCCTGGGGGGGCCGGAGAGCAGGGGGTGGAGGAGGTCCTGGGGGAAGGAGGAGGGGTCCTGGGGGGAGGGGGGTTCCTGGGAAGGAGAGTCCTGGCAAGGGAAGGGGATATTAGGAAGGGGAGTTTGGAAAGGAAGAATCCAGGGAAGTAGGAGAAGGCCACCCAAGGAGAGATGCAAATGGGGGTCCCTGGTCCCCAGGGGGAGGGTTGTTACCTGCCATACAGCTGGTGAGCTTCATGTAGCCCCTTCACCATTCCAGGAACCCCCACCAAGAGCCCAGGCTGGGCAAGGCGGGCAGGCGAGGGAGAGAGGAGACCAGGTCACTGGAAGGGGGGTGCTGGGCTGAACTCCGCAGAGCCCCAAGCCAGGGATGGCTGGCACAGGGGAGAGACACAGGCCAAGTATCCCAGGGGAGGGACAAGCTTTCCCAAGCAGGCACCCCTCCCATCTCCCTGACTTCCTATCGGCAAATGCAGAAAGGCCTCTTTTAGCTGCCATAGTTGAGGGATTTATAAATTAAGCAAAACCTTTCAAGACCCAGGACATAATCAGTTTAGACAGCCACCTGTCTACATTGGATTTCACCAACCCTTGCCCTTTTTTTTTTCTTTTTTCCTGTTACCCAGGCTGGAGTTCAGTGGCATGGAGTATAGTGGCAGGCTCACCGTGGCCTCCAACTCCTGGGCTCAAGTCAAGCGATCCTTGGCGCATGCTACCATGTCTGGCTAATTTCAAAACATTTTTTGTAGAGACAAAGTCTCACTATGTTGCTCAGGCTGGTCTCAAACTCCTGGCCTCAAGCAATCCTCCTGCCTTGGCTTCCCAGAGTGTTGGGATTACAGGTGTGAGCCACTGTGCCCAGGCAACCCTGCCTTTTAAAATGGTGGACAAGGGACCTTCATTTAACCTATTCAGTTTCACACCACCCTTACTCTGAGATCTGAAGGCTCAGGGGTGTGTTTGGCTTTTGCCACTGCACTAAGTACCCATTTTTCCAAGTTATTTGATTTCTTCTTTTTCTCTCAGCAGACAGTTGGTTTGCCTCTAGCAGTTCCCCTCTAATCTTTCAATATGTCAGGGGCTGGGAAAGTTACAGTCAACTGGCTCAGAGTGAGATGTGTGAGTTTTATTGCATCAACTTTGTGACATTTCGGGGTACTCAGTAGCCTTTTTTCTTCCTATGTGCCAGATAGGTAAGACTGCCAGAGAAGTATGGTATTGCAATATTACCTGTAATGAACCAGCCAAATTTTCTAGTTCATTGTTTTATTTTGGGGGCTGCCTGTCTCTCTCATAGCCTAAGAGAATCCTGCTCAACTCTTTCTTTCCACTTCCCTAGTAAATACTTAGCAAATTAATGCTTGGGTTAGCAGAAGGGCAATGAAGAGAGATTCCCCTGAACTCTCTCTTCTCACCAGGGTCCCCACCTTGGTCTCCCAGGATCTTTGCAGGGTCTCTTCCCTGAGGGCCCCTGGTGCGGACTCCCGGAAATCAATTACGTGGCTCTCATTTCGTCGGATGTCATGTACCAGCATCACGCCCCCACTGGGAGAGACACAGAAGGGGAAGCGTGATGATAACATGCTACCTCTCTGTACAATTAACATGCCACCCCTCCACCACCAGTGGTGACAGCTGTAGGCTCAGTTTGTCATTTGGGGTCAGGTGTCTGAGCCCCCTCCCAGCATAATTCATAGACTCAGCCACCCTAAGAGGATGGGAGTGAAACCAAGAGGGTTGGAGACCCAGGGTCCATGGACCTCTTCTACCCTGTCACTGGAGACTTTAATCCCTGATTAGGAAAAGCCCAGAGACAGGGAGAACAGGATGTTCTGCCCCATGCCCCCACCCTGACCAGAACTGGACCCCTGCCAGCTTCCTGCACCTGTCTGCTTGGTGTGTCCCTTGCCCCTCCTCCAGGACTGGATTATGTAAGGATAGAACATGCAAAACCAAAAGAGGAATTTCTTTGGTAAGGCTTGGAGACCTGATCTTACAGGAGCCAAGATAGGAACTCTGTCAGCTTGTTCCTTTTCTGTGGCTTATTTACATCTAAGATGGGGGCTGCACACTTAAATGCCCACAGCCAAATGACAAAATAAGGCAAGCAGGACAGAGAAACAAGAGGAGGTGGTAGAAACTATGGCAAACCAGACAGCGCATGCCCCATTATGGGAAGCAGCTTCTATTCCACTCCAGATAACTTCAGCCATGTGAGAATGTGGGCCCAACTTGTTATCGAATTTCCTGATTGTTCAAGAGATGTTGGAAATCTGGATTTTTATGAAAATTCTTAACTTTTTAACAAGAGCAAACAAAATTTTAAGACAGTTCAGTGTCTAAACCAAACCAGTCTGTGTGCTGGGTGTTGTCCATGGGTGGCCAGTTTGCAACTTCTGTTTTAAGAGTTCTTAGAGTGGGGCATATTTTTGGAGGACAGCGGGTCCAAGGCTTTTCATCAGACCTATAGGGATGTATGATCCTAAGAGTTTAAATATCTCTGCCTTAAGTGATGACAGTATACCTCCACCTGTGCACCTTAATTTATGGTTTACAAATTTCTTTTTCCAGTTTTTAAAAAAAAGCTTCTCAAAACACTTTCAGGTTTTCCATAAGGTAGCTTTGCTCTTCTGACTCCATCCAGGGAGAAGGGGGTGAAATTTGGTGTAGAAAGAGAAAATGCAAGGAATTGGGGCCCAACTGCCCCTCTCCCTAAGTTAGGAGTGCTCCACATGAGGCCTGCAGACCAGGAGGCAAGCAACAGGCCTGGGGGACCCCGACCTCCACTGCTCCTTACCCGCCCAGGCCAGAACTGTGGGGAGCCACGATCCCCAAACACAAGGCTGCTGCCACCGCTGCATCCACAGAAGATCCCTGTTTACTGAGCACCTCGATGCCCAGTGAAGTGCATCGGGCAGCATCGGTCACCACGGCACCCTGCTGGAAGATCTGGGAGGGGAGAGAGGACTTGGTAGGGGCAGGAGGAGCTGTCCGCCTCCCTAGGGCACCTCCACTAGCCTCAGAACTCTAGGGGGGGATGAAGGTCGATGCCCTACCCTCTTGTTGCCTTGACTCTGCCCTCATTACCCCAAGTGCCTTCTAATTGATCGAGCCCCTTCCTTGTTCTGTCCCCTTGTTCTGTCCCTCTCACGCCCTGGAGTTCCTCCCTTTGGGACCTTCCTCTCCCCCAAGTCACCACCCTCTGTCCCCTTCCACCACTCAGCCATTCCCCAGTTTCCACGGTTCCTGGAACATTACCCCACTCCCTCCTCCCCAGTTCCCTCCCGCTCCCCATTTGTCCCCCTCACCTGGGGGTCCCCAAAGTAGATCTGCATGACCAGCGCCACGGTGACACCTGTGGCGAAGGTGAGACAGGCCGTGACGATGACCGTGAGCCCGTCCTGGCGGCAGGAGCACTCGGCTGCTGCCGCAGAGAACGGGTCTTTGCGCGTCTCCCGTAGCGGCGACCCGTCTTGGCTGCCCATCTCCGAGGACGACGATGGCAGCCGCTGCAGCCGTGCTGACTTCAGGAAGGAGTCCGGGTCTGCGGGCAGGCAGCCGGGTCGGTCTGGGCACCTCCTGCCTGGCCCTGCCCACCCTCCAGGCGGAACCATTCAGCGCTTTCTCTGCCCTGCCCCTGTCACACAACCCCCCAACTGGCTAGCACTACTCACCTTTCCTCATCTTCGCATGCACCCCAGGACAGGCGAGGGCAAAAGTGCCCGGCTGGGAAGAGACAGGGACCTTCCCAGCTGGGCAGCAGGGAGGCTGGATTCCCGCCCCTCCCTGATACCTAGGCCAAATTTCCTGGCACCCAGGGCCCAGGGCTGAGAACACTTCCTGGGGGGTGGGGTGGGGGTTCCAGCCCTCCCTGGAAATCGGATCCTGCCCCAGTTGGGGCTCAGCTTCTGTGCAAGGAGACAGCTACATAAACAGAGTAGAGGGACCCTCCCTTCCAACCTTACTTCAGTTATCCGTTCACTCATTCCTTAAATATGGAGAGCCCTATGTTAGGTGCCAGGGAAAGGGAACAGATAGTCCTGCTCTCATGTGGTTCATAGAGCCCTGGAAGAAAAAGCCAATAAGCAAAGGAGTCTATAATTACAAGTTGTGGCAGGTGCTATGAAGAAAAAGGAGGAAATGACAGAATAATGGTGGGTGGTAGGGGAGGGAGGATTCCTTAGCTGCAGAAATCCTGGAAGGCCCCTCAGGAAGTGACTTTTAAGCTGAAAACTGAGGGATGAGGAGCCAGCTACAATGTAGAGCAAGGAATGTGGAATGTTCTGGAAAGAGGGAATAGCAGATGCAAAGGCCCTAAGGTGGGAATGAGCTTGGTACATTAGAAAAAAAATAACCAAGGCCTGGGCGGCTCTGGTGTAGCAGGCATGGGGAAAGAGTAGTAAGGGTGGAAGCTAGGCCAGATACATGCTGAGTGCAGTGATTCACTCCTGTAATCCCAGCACTTTGGGAGGCCGAGGCGAGTGGATCACTTGAGGTCAGGAGTTTGAGACCAGCCTAGTCAACACGGTGAAACCCCGGCTCTACTAAAAATACAAAAATTAGCTGGGCATGGTGATGTGTGCCTGTAATTCCAGCTACTTGGGAGGCTGAGACACAACAGTCACTTGAACCCACGAGGTGGAGGTTGCAGTGAGCTGAGATCGCGCCACTCCACTCCAACCTGGGTGACAGAGTGAGACTCTGTCTCAAAAGAAAAGAAAAAAAAAGGAAGAAGATATGTGAGGCTCTACCAGCCTGGGGAAAAGCTTGGGTTTTACCCTAAGGATTATGGGAGGTCACTACTAGAGAGGCTATTTTTGTTTGTTTTTGAGAAGGAGTTTTGCTCTTGTTACCCAGGCCGGAGTGCAATCGCACAATCCTGGCTCACTGCAACCTCCACTTCCTGGGTTCAAGCAACTCTCTTGCCTCAGCCTCTCAAATAGCTATGATTACAGGCACATGCCACCACGCCTGAGTAATTTTGTATTTTTAGTAGAAACAGGGTTTCAGCATGTTGGTCAGGCTGGTCTCGAACTCCTGACCCCAGGTGATCTACCCACCTCAGTCTCCCAAAGTGCTAGGATTACAGGTGTGAGCCACCGCACCCAGCCCACTACTAGAGAGTTTTAAGCAAGAATGTAAAACCATCTGTTCTGCATTTTGTTGTTGTTGTTTGAGACAGGGTTTGGCTCTGTTGCCCCAGCTGGAGTGCAGTGGCACCATCTCAGCTCACTGCAACCTCTGCCTCCCAGGCTCAAGCCATCCTCCCACCTCAGCTCAGACTCCTGAGCAGCTGAGACTACAGGCGTGCCCACCACACCCAGCTAATTTTTGTATTTTTTGTAGAGATGGGATTTCGCCATGTTGCCCAGGCTGGTCTCAAACTCCTGACCTCAAGTGATCCACTCACCTCGGCCTCCCAAAGTGCTGGGATTACAGGCAAGAGCCACCGCGCCCAGCCTGTTTTGTGTTTTAAAAAGATCCCTCTGGCTACTGTTTGGAGACAGGCTGGAGAACGATAGGAGTGGAGGTAGGAGAGAACTGAAAGCCCACTACTTGCTGGTGGCTATGGACAAGTCACTCAAGTCATGCACCTCACCTTCCTCATTCTAGTAATGGAGCTAATCCCTAACTGGTGGGATAGGGGTACAAGGATTCCATGAGGTGATGTGCACCCAGTGCACTATAGGTAGTCACTCCAACTTATTTCTATTCCTTTTCCATCGTGGCCAGGGCTGAGACCCTCTTCCATCCCATAGCTCCCTTCTCTGAGTGTTATTAGATGTGAACCTAGGTCCCTAAATGGCCTAAAGGTCCTAGGTGTTTGTGAACAGTAAAGAAATAGTCTGGTACCTTGACTATTATGCTGTATTCACAATATGTTTTTTAAAGTTTATTCATTCAATATTTTTTTAGTACCTGCTACTGTGCACTAGGAGTATAACCCTTTTATTTATTTTTTTTTTTGAGACGGAGTCTCGCTCTGTCCCCCAGGCTGGAGTGCAGTGGCCGGATCTCAGCTCACTGCAAGCTCCACCTCCCGGGTTCACGCCATTCTCCTGCCTCAGCCTCCCGAGTAGCTGGGACTACAGGCGCCCGCCACCGCTCCCGGCTAATTTTTGTATTTTTTTTAGTAGAGACGGGGTTTCACGTGTTAGCCAGGATGGTCTCGATCTCCTGACCTCGTGATCCACCCACGTCGGCCTCCCAAAGTGCTGGGATTACAGGCTTGAGCCACCGCGCCCGGCCGAGTATAACCCTTTTAAAAGTCTGTGTGATAATATTAAAAACTGACCATTTTATTGTTCTGTTTAAAATACATGGTTCACTGATGCCAACATAATAAACATCCACGTTCCTTGTGGTGTTTAAAGGCCTACATGATCCACAATCCCATCTTTTGTGTAAATAAGAAACCAAATATATAGATTAAATGATGATATATGCAACAAATGTTTATAATTACAGAAGTTACTCTTGGGGAAGGATACTGAAGATGGGAATGAAATGGGGTGGGAGTTTTTTTGCTTTGAAATTTTTACCACTTACATGTATTTCCTTTTTAGAAATCAATACATAAACCAGGAGTGCTCGTGCATGCCTGTAAGCCTAGCTATTCAGAAGGCTGAGGCAGGAGGATCACTTAGAGCCCAGAAGTTCAAAGCTGCAGTATGATTGCAATATGAATAGCCACTGCACTCCAGGCTGGGCAACACAGAAAGACCCTGTCTCTAAAAAAAATTAACATCTATATTTTGAAATAAAAAGGAAAAATTACAGGGAGATAGGAATGGGAAAGGGGACTTTTTTATTTTTCCTCAGTATTGCTTTTTTTTTTTTTTTTTTTTACCATGAACATGTAACGTTTGTTTTTGTCTGTTTTTGAGACAGAGTCTCTCTGTCGCCCAGGCTGGAGTGCAGTGGCACAATCTCAGCTCACTGCAACCTCCACCTCCCAGGTCCTGCCTCAGTCTCCTGAGTAGCTGGGGTTACAGGCGCACGCCACCATGCCTAGTTAATTTTTTATATTTTTAGTAGAGGCAAGGTCTTACCATGTTGGCCAGTCTGGTCTTGAACTCCTGACCTCAGGTGATCTGCCTGTCTTGGCCTCCCAAAGTGGTAGTATTACAGGCATAAGCAACCGTACCCTGCTGTTTTTAAACTTTACCTTCAAAAAAAGATTATCTTCTGAGAATCTCCCTCACTTGATAATGCTTGCCTCTAACCCTCAAAACCAGCACCAAAGAGTCTGTAAATAAATAAAACTGGAATTCATCCAAACAAACAGATGTTAAACACCCACTGTGGGCACAGAACTCTCCTTGGCCCCTAGAAACGTCTTTTGTTGTTGTTGTTGTTAATAGAGACAAGGTCTTGCTATGTTTCCCAGGCTGTTCTTGAACTCCTGGGCTCAAACAATCTTCCCGCCTCAGCCTCCCAAAGTGTTGGGATTACAGGCGTGAGCCACTGCACCCAGCATTAGAAGTTTCAAAAGAAGTGCGGGAAAGGGTTTTGAACTTATATTTATTGATGCTGACTACATATTAAGCATTTTACATATATTCCCTCATTGAAGTGTTCCCAAGACTTTATGAAATAGGTCCCACTCTCCCCACTTTACAGATGATAAAACTAAGACCAAGAAAGGTGATATTGCCCATCTCAGGTCATAAAATGAGTAAGTGGGCCAGGTTTGGTGGCTCATGTCTATAATCTCAGCACATTGGGAGGCCGAGGTGGCAGGATTGTTTGAGCCCAGGTGTTCAAGACCAGCCTGGGCAACATAGTGAGACTCCCGTCTCTACAAAAATTTTTATTTTTAATTAGCCAGGCATGGTGGTGTGCACCTGTTGTCCCAATTACTTGGAAGGCTGAGGTAAGAGCATCACTTGAGCCTGGGAGTTTGAGGCTGCAGTGAGCCATGATCACACCACTGCCCTCCAGCCCAAAAAATTTAAAGTAAAATATAAAATAAAATAAAATGAATAAGTGGCAGAACCAAGAGTCTGTGTAACTAGAAAGCCTCCTTCCCATTGCTCCACATGGCATCAAGAGCCATTTCTACCCTTAGAAACCAACCTTACAAGCTAATTTTTGTTGCTATTTCTTGGTACTTATTGTTTTGTTTATGAGACATAGTTTTCCTACCAGGCTGGAATGCAGTGGTGCAATTTCGGCTCACTGCAACTTCCGCCTTTGGCTTCAAGCAATTCTCATGCCTCAGCCTCCCAAGAAGCTGGGATTATAGGCATGTGCTACCATCCCAGCTAATTTTTGTATTTTTAGTAGAGACGGGGTTGCACTATGTTGGCCAGGCTGGTCTCAAACTCCTGGCCTCAAGCAATCCGCCCGTCTTGGCCTCCCAAAGTGCTGGCATTACAGACGTGAGCCACCGTGCCCGGCCCTAGGTACGGTTTAATTTGTTTTCTCCAGTCAGATATAAGAATCCAGGAGATAAAGGTGACACGCCCCTATCATAGCTATTCAAGACTCTCTACTCCACCAGTCCATCATAAAGTTATTCATTTATACAATAAAAATATTTACTGAGTACCTACCATGTGCACTGTGGAACAGCTAGGGCAATAATAGTGCTGATTTTACTGATTGGGAAGAGCAACAGCAGGATACTGGGAAAAGATTAATTTGCAACCAGATTAAGATGGGAGAAAAGACGACAAGTTCAATTTTGGTTATTATAAATTTGTGGGAGACCAGAAGAAGATGTCTGGAGGCAGTTGGCCTAGTAGATATCTAATTTTTACCTTCAGGGCTCATCCCTGGTATCTGCTTAGATACCACTTCTTATTCAATTTTCTTTTAAGGAACATTCTTTCTCCTCAGCCCACTCCCTCATCCCTGACCAAAGTATATAACTCAGACTTGACCAACCAGAACAGGTACCTCTGTGCAGTAACAGGCATGTGAACAAAATTCAGGCCAATAAGACCCAAACTTCCTTCTTTTGCTGGAACTATTGGGAAAGAGAAAGGCTCTCTTTCTATTACACTTAAGTTGCTAAGTTAATAGGATGTAAGCCTGTAGCTGCTGGGGGCATCTTGCCCCCAATAAAATGGGAGGCCTTCTGACAATGAAGCCCACTGAAAGAAGGCAGAGAAAAAGATGGAGAAAAGTCCATTCCTTTTTAGGTACCTTAATCCAGCTATGCCTGAAACCCATATCCCTGGACTTTTCAATCGTGCTACCCAGTAAAATTCTCTTTTCTGATGTAGCTCAGTTAAGCTGGGTTTATGACAAAATAATCCTGAACAGAATTGATTATATAAGTCCAGAGTCTAGGAGAGTGATCTTGGCTAGAAGTTAGGGTCATCCCTGGCTTGTCGTTTACTCCCTTAAGGGGAGAATCACTAAAAAATAAAATAAAAATAAATATATATAATATAAATTTTATATGTATACATAATTTTGAGACAGTGTCTCACTCTGTTGCCCAGGCTAGAGTGCAGTGGTATAATCTCAGCTCACTGTAGCCTCAACCTTCAGGGCTCAAGCCATCTGCCCACCTCAGCCTCCCGAGTAGCTGGGACTACAGGCATGCACCACCACACCTGGCTAATTTTTGTATTTTTTGTAGAGACAGGGTTTCGCCATGTTGCCCAGGCTGGTTTTGAATTCCTGAGCTTAAGCAATCTGCCCACCTCAGCCTCTCAAAATGCTAGGATTACAGGTGTGTGCCACCATGCCCGGCAGAATCACCAAAGATACTTGAACCAGGGAGTGACATGACCAGAAGTGCAGGGCGATAGATGGACTGGGGTGGGGACAGGGGCAAGAGGTAGGAGGTAGGAGGTGCCTATGAATAATATTGATAAGAGAGGTTGGTGGTTTAGTCTACAGTGGTGATGACAGGGATGATGAGTAGGAATCTGAAAGATACTTAGGAGGGGTGCAGAGAGCACTTGATCACCATTTGGAAGTGAGAAGAAAAGGAGTCCAGCATGCCATTCGTTCTTGGCAGACTGGATGAATGGCAGTGTCATTAATGGAGAATGGCAGTGGAGGAAGAGCAGGTGCATGGGGAAGGGATATGATGAGTTCAGCATAGAACACGCTAGAGATGAGGCACTTGCAGGACATCTGGAGACACAGGCCTGAGAGAGAAAGGAACACATGAGCTTAGAGCTCAGAAGAAAGAAAGTATTTCCCAACCTTGGAATGATCACTGTCTAGCTCTCTTTCCCACAGAGCCTGATGTGGGATGCCTGGCACTTGGGTTTAGGGAATGGCAGGCCAGAGGCAAGCTGGGCACAACCAAGGTCCTGGCTAAGAGGATGGTGCTGTGCCACTAGATGGCACTACCAGGTTGAGAACACAGGAGGCCATGTCAGCCTGCAGTCTGGTCCAGGTGAACCAAGGGAGTCTTGGGGCTTGGAAGTAGGATTAGGAGACATGGCATTCGTATGATTACACTGATATGATGGCAACACACAAACCTGGCGCATAAATTTGGCATAAGTTATAAGCTCCCAGAAGCTCAGATGACTAGGATCTTTGCTAGATTTCCGTACAGGTGAGGGCAGAGCCTGTACTGAACTTCCCAAAATACTCCCTGAGGTTTTGGAACTTGCTCTCTCCTACCATTATTTCATCCTGAGATCTTCTCTCTCATGCATTTATTCATTCAACAATTATTGAGCACCCAATAAATATATAGAGATGAGGTTTTGGGTTTTTTTTAATTTTTTTTTTTTTTTTTTTTTGGAGACAGAGTCTCACTCCGTTGCCCAGGCTGGAGTGCAATGGCACGATCTTGGCTCACTGCAATTTCTGCCTCCCAGGTTCAAGTGATTCTCCCTGCCTCAGCCTCCTGAGTAGCTGGGATTATAGACACCTGCCAGCAGGCCCGGCTAATTTTTTTTTTTGTACTTTTTGTAGAGACGGGGTTTTGTCATGTTGGGCAGGCTGTTTTTGAACTCCTGACATCAGGCAATCCACCCGCCTTGGCATCCCAGAGTGCTGGGATTACAGGCGTGAGCTACCACGCCCAGCTGGTGTATTTTTTTTTTTTTTTTTTTTTTGAGACTGAGTCTCACTCTGTCGCCCAGGCTGGAGTGCAGTGGCATGATCTCAGCTCACTGTAACCTCTGCCTCCCCGGTTCGAGTGATTCTCCTGCCTCAGCCTCCCGAGTAGCTAGGATTACAGGCACCCGCCACCATGCCCAGCTAATTTTTGTATTTTTAGTAGAGATGGGTTTTCACCATGTTGGCCAGGCTGGTCTTGAACTCCTGACCTCAAGTGATCCACCCGCCTCAGGCATGAGCCACTGCGCCTGGCCTAGGGAAAAGTTCTTGATGCTGGAGAAAGGAGAGTGAACAAAACAATCATGATCCCTGCCCTCATGGGGCTTACAGACAAGGAGTAATCAGATAATTGCACAAATAGGCTGGGCGCCTATTTGTGCCCGTAATCCCAGCCTGTAATCCCAGCACTTTGGGAGGTGGAGGCAGGAGGATCACGAGGTCAGGAGATCGAGACCATCCTGGCTTACACGGTGAAACCCCGTCTCTACTAAAAATACAAAAAATTAGCTGGGCGCGGTGGCGAGCGCCTGTAGTCCCAGCTACTTGGGAGGCTGAGGCAGGAGAATGGCGTGAACCCGGGAGGTGGAGCTTGCAGCGAGCTGAGATCGTGCCACTGCACTCCAGCCTGAGTGACAGAGTGAGACTCTGTCTCAAAAAAAAAAAAAAAAGATAACTGCACAAATAATCACAGATTTTGGTAAATGCTAAGACACTTACAAAGGGCCAGAAGAAAACATGTCAGGCAGTTCCAATCTCTAGGTCAAAAGAGACAGGCATTCTCTGTTGAGCTGGAAGAGGAAACTAAGGCCCAGGACAGGGTAGGTGTGCCCATTGTCGCTCAGTGAGTCAGGGCTGTACTAGGACCAGAAGCCTCACTCCTGACTACTGAATAAAAGGCCTAGCTTCAGGCTGATATCCATCACCACACATCTTCCCACTCCTCTCCCTGCTACCTCCTGATTACACTCCCTTTGGAAAATAAGTTTTGATCTGCAGCCCTGACATTTGATGCTCATAAACCTCTCAACCCCATCCTCATTATCTCCTCACCCCCACCCCATATAGAGTGCAGTCCAGTCAGGTTGGCAAGGGCTGCTGGTGAGGGCCAGATGACCAGAAAGTGTAGAGGAGAAGAGAATTTGGGGCTCTCAGACTGGGAGCAGCTAGGGAAGGGCCAGGCCGGAAAAGCAGCATCTGCCAGGCTGGGAAGAGACAAGGCACAAGTGCAGGCACTGCGAGGAAGCGCGAGTGAGGTAGAAGGATGCTCTAATGCCAGGAAGTGACGTGCAGGGACAGAGGGATGGGGGATGAAGGATGAAGAATGGAGGAGAGGATGGAGCTGGGCCACATGGCTAGGAGGAAGAGCAGCACGGAAGGAATGCACAGAGAGCTCTTTGCCCCCAGGTTCTTCCAATCCCTGTCTCCTCCCTCTCTACTCCCACTTCTCACAATTCCAGCAGAGGGCTGAGGGGAACACAGTAAAATTCTGGAGACTGCTTCCTAGCGAGCAGAGTACCTTACTAATACCCCGGCCAGATCCATGGCTTGGGGAGAGGTGGGGTAATCCACAGGACAGTGAAGGCGTTCTAGTCCCCAAGGACTTTGAGAGGTCATGCAGTCCATGCCTCAGTCTCCCAATACCCAGCAGAGGGGAATCATATTCTCTTTACCCCTCCCTACACATGAAGAGATTCTCCGCTTCTCTCAGACCCTCTGCTTCCCACAATCCCTGGCTGTGGGGAACTTCTCTTAAGGCATAGATTGGATCCCTCTTGCTGCAGTCTCTGACTTGGTTTCTCGTATCCTGTCCTCTGTGGCTAGAGAAAGGCCTCTTCTGGGTGATCACAGAGGTTCCTTAGGATCTCCCCTCCAACATTCCTTCATCCTTAGTTGGTTCTTCCCAGAAGGTAAGCCCAATCCCTTCTACTGCAGTCCCTAGCACACTCCCCGTTGTCGCATCCTACGCCTCCAAGGCAGAAATGCACCCCTTCCCCACCAAATAATTAACAGAGACAAGGGAGAAGAATGGAGAGGTCCAAGAAGATGGGAATGAATTAAGGAGATGGAGCTGGAGGTGGATGCTCTACACAGAAGAAGGAAGACCGGGACTTCCCAAGGCAGGGCAGGGACGGGGCCAGCGGGCCTCACCGGTGTCGGGGTCTCCCAGAAAGGCGTCCTCGTCCTTGCGGCCCCTCAGCGGGGCCGCGGGCGCCGGCTCGTCCTCGGGCAGCCGCGGGAAGCTGGTGATGCTCATGTAGTCCACTGGCGAGTAGGCGCCCAGGGCGCTCTCCTGACTGGCCTCGTTCTCCGCCGCCATCCTCGCCCGCGCCCCCCAGCAGCGCAGCGCCTGCCGGAAGTGGCTGCGGTGAGGGAGTGGGAGGGCGGAGGGCGGGGCCTGAGCTTCGGGACAGCCGGGAGGGGGCGCCTCACCCCGCCCTTGGCTGTGTCCCGGGCTGACTCGCCCCCGCCTGCTCAGCGCTGTCAGCCTGCAGCTGGCACGCAGGTGCGCGTAGATGGAGAGCCAGGAAGGCAGCGCAGGGTCGAGGGGAGAGCGCGGAGCAAGTGAGACTTCAGTGGCTCTGCACTTTACGCAGCTCAGGGACCAAACCCGTTCCTCCTTCCAGTCTGAATCCAGCTAGTATCCTCCTCAAATCCCGGGCTTCCTTTTCGGACCCCAGACCCTTTCACTGACCGCAAATCCCTCTAGACCCCGATCCTGTCTCTGACCCCAAACTCCTCGGACCCCGGACCCCTCCTTGAACTCCGAGATCCCCCTCCTCCGATTTTAGACTCCTCCTCCGACCTTAGACCTCTTTTTCGACTTCAGACTCTGTCTTCACCCGCAGGCCCTTTTGAAAACCCCAGCCCATACTTCGTCCCCAGGCCTCTTTGACTGCAGACTCCTCTTTGGAGAACAGTTCCCTCCCCTGACCTCAGATCCCTTCCCGTACCCCGACACTTCTGACTCCTCTTTCAACCTCATTCTCAAACTTTAGTGTGTGTTAGGGTCTTTGAAAGCGGATCCCCAGATTCCACTCCAGAGGTCATGATTCAGTAGGCTGGGATGAGGTCCTTGGAACCTGAATATTTACCATCATTTTAAGAGTTTTTGATGTGGTTCTGGAAAGGACACTTTGAGAAAGAAGGAGTGGTGGTAGTGGTGGTAGGGCAGGAATGGGCCAAGGTGGGGAATAGGTCTCCATAGTCTAAATGTCTGGGTTCTATTCTGCTACCGCTCAAACACTGTGTAATCTTGGGCAAGACAATTAATCTCCCTATCAGTTTCCCCATCTGTGAAATGGAAAGAATAATAGTACCCAATTTAGAGGGTTGTCATGAGGATTAAGTAACAGAATGAAAAGCAATTTGTATAGGGCTTGGCACCTACTCAATAAATGGCATCATCATCATCATCATCATCATCATCATCATTGCCTTAATCTGGTAAACTCATTCCCTCCAAACCCATCCATCCTCTCTCCACTTAGAAATTCCAACCACACTACAGCTTGTACTACTTCTCCATATCCAAGGATGAGGGAGGTTCCTTCTCTTACGAGGTCTCTGGTCCAAACTTTCATTGTGAAGTCCACAGGAAGAGAGAGGGGGCTGGTGAAGCCTTTATACACACATTCTTTCTCTTCCCAACCCCAGACCAGTCTCGGATAGCCTGAAGTGCTTGAAAAATCTACTATACGCACAGCAGCTGCAGTAGCAACTATAGACAGGAGGGGGAAGCAGTGTGTCGGGAACAGCTCTGGGGTTTGGTGGTAGGACTTGGGAGAGAGGATAGGAAGGAGAGGGCTACTCAGAGCTGTGTGGTAGGAGTGCCCAGGGAGGGTAACAGTCTATCACCAAAACGTGTACCCATTGTGTGTGCCTCTCCCCACCCCAGAGAGTTTTTATCTCCTCAGTGATGTCTGTAGGGTCTATTACACTACCCTGAGGTCTAATCCCTCCAGTGGGACCTTTCTCCACTCAATGAGGTCTGTGCCTTCTCAGTGATGTCCACTCCCACAGTGTAGCTGGCGGCTCCTCAGTGGGGTTTGAGTCCTCTGGTAGGGTCCATGTCTCCTTAGTAAAATCCATATCCTCTGTATCTCCTAGGGGAAATCCATGTCTCCTCACTAGGGTAAGTGCCCTTCAATGCCATTCATGTCCTATTAGCAGGGCCCAGGGCCCTTCAGTCGGATCTGAGAACCCCCAGCAACATCTGTGCTCCCTTAGTGGGGTCCATGTACTGTCAGTGAAGTGTGTGTCCCTTCGGTGCAGTGAATGTCTCCTTGATGAAAGTATCTGACCCCTTGGTGGGGTCCATGTCCACTCCAAGAGGTCTGTACTCCTTCAGCAGGCCCTGAGATTCCCGCCCTCCTCAGGTTTGGGCAGACTCTCGGTCTTCCATGGGAAGATTTTTTTTTTCAGCTTAGGGTGTGCAAGGTTTACAGTCAGCTGGGCAAAGAGCAGGGAAGTAGGTGGGAAGGGAGGCTGGGCTAGATGGGGTCACAAGGATTGTGTAAGCTTCAAGAGGTGGGAGCTGCCTGCTTCAGGCCTCAGAATCACTCTTGCAGTTAGAGATTTAAGAATCCTTCCTGCCTTGACAGCCAGTCTGTGAACTGATGGGTGAGGTGAGTCCTTCTTCATGGTGAGTGCAGGTGAGAGATGGAAGAGGGTCCTGCCTGACTTCTTTCTGGGGTGGAGGGGCTAGAGGGAAGCTAGAGGTAATTAAGCCCAGGTTGTGGTGGTGGTGGTGGGGGTTTCCCTTGGTGAAGTAAAGAGATTGTGAAGGAAAGAAGAGAATGTGGGCTGGGTGCGGTGGCTCATGCCTTTAATCCTAGCACTTTGGGAGCCCAAGGCGGGCAGATCACCTGAGGTCAGGAGTTCAAGATCAGCCTGGACAACATGGTGAAATCCAATCTCTACTAAAAATACAAAAATTAACTAGGCGTGGTGGCGTGCACCTGTAATTCCAGCTACTCGGGAGGCTGAGGCAGGAGAATTGCTTGAATCCAGGAGGCAGAGGTTGCAGTGAGCCGAGATCGAGCCATTGCATTCCAGCCTGGGCGACAGAGCAAGAGACTCCGTCTCAAAACAAAAACAAAAAACAAGAATGTGAATGATTTTTCCTATTTGCACAGACTGATATTTTACAAGCCTTAGCTTCAAGCCTGATGAGGAAGTAAAACCAAATCCATAGTCAAGGAACCTAGCTTTGACCCTAACTTGATCGTCATTTGCTCTCTGACTTTGCACCAGTTCCTTCCCTTTCCTGGGTTTGCCATTTGTGCAATTAGGAAATGGGTTTATTATAAAAAACCTGAATGTGTCTCCTAGTCTTCACTTATTATTTTTTTTTCTTTTTTTTGAGACAGAGTCTGGCTCTGTCGCCGAGGCTGGAGTGCAGTGGCGCTATCTCGGCTCACTGCAAGCTCCGCCTCCCGGGTTCACTCCATTCTCCTGCCTCAGCCTCCCGAGTAGCTGGGACTAAAGGCGCCCGCCACCTCGCCCGGCTATATTTTTGTATCTTTTAGTAGAGACGGGGTTTCACCGTGTTAGCCAGGATGGTCTTGATCTCCTGACCTCGTGATCCGCCAGTCTCGGCCTCCCAAAGTGCTGGGATTACAGGCTTGAGCCACCGCGCCCGGCCTAGTCTTCACTTATTGAGTCTTGTACTTTAGATCTGGATGGAGATTTGTGAAGGCAAGGAGATTGAAGACATGTCCTCATAAGAGGGAGAAAATCTGAGCTGGCTCCAGGGTGAGCAGAGAGGGGGTGCTGTCACCAGAGCATGCCCTCAAGGTCATGGGAGAAGTTTTTCCGGAGGACGGAATGTGGGTGTGGCTCAGAGAAGAGGGAACTAGAGGAAAGGGTGTCGCCTGAAAGGGACCCTACCCCACATAGCTTTCCAACTCAATGGGGTGATAGTCAGGACTGTGCAATCAGATGAGGGGGCGGCTCCGCGATGGACCTTACTCAACTCCTCTCCTTAGTCCAGCCCCTTCCCTTTCGATCCCCGCCCTAACCCAACCCTTTATCTGTCACTCCAAGACCCCACCCCACTCTGGTCACTCCACGGCTCTGCCTCCTCTCCTGTCATAACCAGCCGGGTTACTCCCCATCACTCCATGGGCCCACCTCCTCTCCTGTCCCGCCTGGCCCCGCCCCTCCTCTGGCATTCTACGGTTCCACCCTCTCACTTGTCGCACCCGGCCCCGCCCCTTCTGCTTTCACTCTACGGCGTCACTCCTTCCGGCAAGTCAGCTCCGCCCCTATCCCGCGACTTTTCCTTATAGTATTTCTGTCCTTGCTAACCTCGATCCCGCCCCAACCAGGCATGGTCCCGTCCCTCTGGCACCGCCCACCCGCCAGACCAAGCCACGCCCCCACTCGCCAGGCCCCGCCCCTCCTCGGAGGCCCCGCCTCTAGGTCGGCCTGTTTTCCCAGTCCCGGCACCCGCCGCGACCGCAAAGGCGGCCACGGTTCTAGGAACTTGACGTGATGGGGCTTCCTGAGGAGCGGGGCCGGAGTGGCAGCGGCAGTCGGGGCCAGGAGGAAGCGGGAGCCGGAGGCCGGGCGCAGAGTTGGTCTCCGCCGCCCGAGGTCAGCCGCTCCGCGCACGTCCCCTCGCTGCAGCGCTACCGCGAGCTGCACCGGCGCTCCGTGGAGGAGCCGCGGGGTGAGGCCCGGTCCGGGTGGGCCTCGGGGTGTCAGTGAGGAGAGGGGTGGGGGCTCCCTGGGGGAATCTGGGGCTCCCTTGGGAAGCTGAGGGGTCCATGAGGAGATGGAGGTTCTATGAAGGAAGAATTGCGGTTCTTTGAAGATGGAAAAGGGATTCCGGGAGGAGACGAGGCTTACATGGGAGCTGGGGAGTTCCTGGAGACTTGAAGGGTCCGTGGGGGAGATGTGGGTTTTTGCGAGGAGACGCGAGATTCCGTGAGGGAAGAAGTGAGGTTCGTTGAGGTTGGGACGGGAGGTCGTCCAGGAGAGTGAAAGTTTCGTGGGAAGAGAAGGGGAGTTCCTGAGGCGAAAAGAGGGTCTCTAAGGGGCGACGGGAGCTTTGAGGGGAGGAGGGCCACCAATAGAACTTTCTTTGCTTCCCTTTCACACCAGCTCGGCCGCTGCCTCCTGAGATCTTTAACTTGTGAACTGTTGAGGGCAATAACGGGTCTGGTTCCCATCTTGGGGTCCTCAGATTAGTAATCAAGAACTGATCTATTTTTAGTATATCGGACATCCCAATAGAAATTACGCGGTATAAGACTCAACGAGTTACTACGATGTCAAGTTGTTTTATTTTTATTTTTTTAACTTGGGCTGGGATTGTATTAATAATAATTCAGAAGTTCTGATAGATGGTTCCATGTCTGTTAAAATGTATGAGGAAAATC